TCATATCTAATGATTGTCCTGTCAACATATTCTCCCGACTAAGTTGTACTGTAAATCTCTTCATCACCTTCATCTTCTCAGCTGCTTCTCAGTCTAATGCTTTCTTTTTCCTGGCCTCTATAGGCGGAACACTATCCCTCTTTATGCCATACTTTCTATTTTCTTGCTTTTTTGGGGGGGGGTTATCTTTGTAAATGGACTTTGACTTGGATAAAATAACTTGGGAAGACACGTCTTACATGTATAGCTTACCTTTTTTTTTAGTAGATTTTACATAAAAGCTGCTAATTTTGAATTTTCAAGTTTTTGAGGAACCCCTGAAATCATTACGATACATTATCAGCTTTCAAGCCACACTTAAACAGCAGTCTGTGCTTAAACTCCAGGTGCAGCATCTACAGAAGGAGGTGTAAGACCAAAATCCTCTTGATAGTTAAAGAGACATTATGTATGTTTTTAGTTATGTTTAAAATTACATTTTTATTGGATGCTTTATGGCTAAAACATAATTTGATGAGCAGATTGACACTTCAGTAGTTCAGCGCCTCTGTTTGTGACATCAAGCGTGGTCATGTTGAATGGTTCCGACGTAGCCAACAAACGAAATGTTATATTCAAGATTGATTTTGTGGATATTCAAAAGCGAGCAGCATCCAGCTCAACTCAGACACCAATGGCTACTCTACATAAGGTGAAAAAAGTTAGAAAAAAGAAAAACCTTGTTAAGTATAAGGCTGTGAGAATGAGCAAAATGATGTTGCAGTTCAATATTTTGGCCACAAGTGGCAGTATCTTTACCTCTTTAACTAGTTAATCAAATATCTGGCATCAGATGGTGCTTAAAGACGGAGATGAATTCTTTTCACCTGGGTGTAGAGTGACATTTCCTTTTTTCGAGCTCCAACAAATACACACCAGAGACCTATTATCCATTTGTCTCCTATGCTCTCCCTCTTTCAGGGAGTACGGAGACATGGGTGTGATGTGTGCTGCATCGCAGCCCCCGCATAGTTTGTTACCATAGCAACAATTGAGACAGAGGGCCATAAAAATTGATAGAAAGACAGAGATAGAGTGTGTAAAAGAGAGGAAGTTTGCAAGAAAGGGATCAAGAGGTTTACTCGTGTTCTATAAATGATCTTCCATCTGTGTCCTTGTGTAATAATGGGAGATCTCTCAGCTACCAGCTCTCAGGCAAAATTATGCTGTTTAAGCAGACTGGCAAAAGTCAATGAAGCCCACTCAACTTTTGTGCTCAGAGCCATAAAAATGTATCCCAAAGCTCTTTGGACTTTGACATTTTTTTGTCCTTTACAGACTGGTCATGCAGAAGTCTATTCAGTTTTGAAATATATTTATAAATCTTGTCTGATTTTGAAATATATCTGAATTTCACAGTTTTATTAGGCATATTTATCATTCCTTAAGGTTACTGTCTAAATAGAGTTAAGGCAGATATATTTATAAAAGATGCTTTAATATATAGGAAAATAGTATATGAGATGGATAAATATTCATAATTTTTTTCACTGATCTAGATGCTATTGGTATCAACAGTTAAGTCGTTAAAATGTGCTTTCTAATACTGATAACCCTATCAGATGCTTTTGATAATACCAGCTCAGCAGTAAAAATGGCTTTCACAAAGAGTAAGTGCAAGACAGAGGGATTATCCCTAAATCCAGAGAAGCTGGTTAAATGAGTAGTGTTGAAGAAAAAAAAAAACCTTAGTAGCAGCAAAGTATTTTTAATTCAGTTATTTTTATCAATATTATTTCTATTTTACATGCTAATTGTTAATAATTGTTACTGTTATCAAATGTTATCACATTAATGCATTGATTTGAGACTTTTGTTTGCCTTGTCAGTTTGCCTCATCCACAGCTGCTCCTTATCCTCTGATTAACTCACCTTAGCCACTGTCATTCTCCAATCAGACCTCAGTATAAACTAATCACTGGTTTTCAGTGTTCTGTGTTGGTTCATGTGCTCTGTCCTGCTCTGTCCTGCTTTAGTCTGTCTTGTGTAACTCTGACATTCTTGGTCTTTTTTCATGTTGCTGGTTTGTCATGGTATCTGTAGTGGATGATTTTGAATTATTCATCCTTGGATTTTATTCTTCTTTCTGTTTCAACCTCTGCATTTCTTTATCTGTATCATTTTCCAAAACAACCACCATTGCTTTTATGAGAAAAAGGAAAACATTTTTTTTTTAGCAGCTTTCATTTCACTTTGACATTTATTAATTAAAAAGGCCTTGACTTTAATTCACAGAAAGTCTTAATCATGTGTAGTATTCAGTTGAAAATGCTCATCACTGTGAGTAATGATATCTTTGGTGCTAAAAATTTGATTCCTTTAAATGTTTGGTAAGGTTTCATACACCCCATGCTTAAGTTTGAGCCCCACAACGTTGACAACAGATAACTTTGAGACTTTTTCTGTAGCCTACTTTTATTCCATTGTTTGGAAATGTGTTTAGGACTTAAATTCAATTCATTTTATTTATATAGCACCACTTCACAACACGTCATCTCAAGGCACTTTACTGTTCACCAGATCATACAGTCAATTGATTAAAAGTTTTCTATCCAAGGAAAACCAGTTGATTGCATCGACTCATTGACTCGAAGGCAATCCCTCACACTAAGCATGCTTGTACCGACAACGGAGAAGAAAAACTCCCTTGTAACAGGAAGAAACTTACAGCAAGACCAGGCTCAGTGTGAGCGGCTATCTGCTGAGGCCGCCTGGGGTTCAAGGAGACAGAAGCAGAGATAAAAAAGGCAACTGTAAAAGGCGGCCCCGTCCAGAAAACACACAGGCAGGCAGATGAGCTCAGCGGCAGCTCCCATGTCTGAGGATAAATGAGAGCGCATCCAGCCTGTCGCTGTCAGAGAAACAGGACTACACTGAAAAACAGGCCAATCTCAAAAATCTATAAACGAAGGTGCTGATGGCACCAGCACAGCTGATATTTCTCTCCAGATGGTGTCACGACCAAACATGAATAGACGACGTGAAGCTACTATGAGAAAAAAGCAGAGAGAGCATAATGTTAGAGATTGAACTAACAGATTCTGCAGAGTGGAATAATAGAGATAGAATGAAGCAGAATTATGAAAAAGGGGTCCCTATGCCCTCCAGAAGTCTAAGCTTATAGCAGCATAACTATAGAGATAGCTCAGGATAACCTGAGTGACTCTAACTATAAGCTTTATCAAAAAGGAAAGTTTTAAGCCTACCGTTAAAAGTAGACAGGGTGTCTGCCTCACCGACTAAAACTGTTAGTTGGTTCCACAGGAGAGGAGCCTGATAACTAAAAGTTCTGCCTCCCAAGTTCTCTTTTCTGGTTCCGTTGTTCTATAAAAGTACGTTTTTGCATCATTTGAGGCGAGAACATTATACTTTTACTTTTAAGTGTCACTATACGGCATACATACAATACATACATACAATTTACTGATTTAGTGCTCAATTTAAAAAAAGTTCTGATGTTGAGAGGACAGCGGCAACCAGCGGACCTCCAAGTCTAACTACAGCCAGGGCTAATTATAGGCCTTCTGCAGCAGCCCTCTCTCAGCGTAGCCGTCTGTGAAGTACCGCTGGCTCTGATGGCGATTTTTTTGTTTTATTTGGCAAAATGTTAATCAACAATCTGGAATTCACGCGGAAAACAATATAACATAGTGTAGTTTTTCTAGATGTTTGTTAATTTGCTCTTTAATAATCACATTCTCTGATAATAAATAGTTTTTATATACTAAAAAATATATCTAAAGCTGACCAATAGCTTCTCCATTATTAAACTTATACATTATTTTTTAGGTTTGTGACAATATTGGACCATGCAAAACGCAGATTTGCCTTCACAAAGCCTCAGAAGGACAACATTTATGTACAAAAAGTAAACCTGTACATGAAATTATGTTTTGCTTTTATAAAGTGTTTTTATAATGTTTATTTTTGTTTGTATTCATATGAATATACTGGTGTGATAACTTAGTATACGTTTCATAGGTTTTTGGTATAGGTCTATTTTGAATGTATAACCCCCGCCCCGGAGAAAACTCTACCAGCCGCCACTGTAACAGACACAGCTTTTTGATAGAATAGCTAAATAAAACGGAGGCATGTTTTACAAATCAGAAGTGGGAGATTCATTAAAGCTCACGATGAAACGGTTAATCTACTGTAGATCAGTCTGTTCCTCCCTTTGCTCTTTTTTTCTGATATGCACACTCTCCCAGATGCACACATGATTCTGTGGGCGATAAGCTGGATGCTCATTATCGGGCATTAACTGCACTGCTCACTAATCCCTGCTGTCAAACAGACTGACTAGCTGTATGTGTGCGTGTCCATGTGTGATGGCCCAACCAGTATAATTATTGCCACCATGCAAAGCAGGAAATAGCTCTGACTGCTTTTCCTAAGCCACGGGCATATCATTACGTTACACAAAATTCTCTACTGATAGCTGTGTATTTCCATATGTCTGGAAGTGTTTTTCAGGACATATTGCTTTACATTCAGCTTGAATCTTTCCATTATAAACTCATTGTAAAAATGATCATGGAAGGACTATGACAGGGTTTGAACTCTGCAAAAATTGGATGTGAATTTTAAGGAGCAAAATTTTCATCTTTATGCATTTATCTTCTCCGCACTAGATTGTGTTACTTTTTTATGTGTACAAAGTTAGTAATGCCTCCAAATGTCCTGTCTTAGTAACCTTTGCTAACTAGGTTGCCTCTAACCTTTAGTTCTTAAGCACATCTAGATTATTCATATAAATTTCCTGTTGTTTATTTTTTGGCATTATAAATTATGATAAACCATGTTTTGAAATACAAATAACTTTATTTTTATTTATTTATTTATTTATTTTTTACAAATTTCTTCTGGTTAACAACAGATAGCTGTTATCCAAACCTAGTTTTTTACTAAATGACTACATCTTTTATTACTTAGAAGCAATTATCCATTTTATTATGCAATATCATTGTATATTACGCAGCACCATAATTATAAATTACAATCTTATTCACTGTGGTGAGTTCGTAAAAGCCCATAAATGTTGTTCCTTGAGGCCCATTTTTGCAAGTACTTGTTACATTTGGGATATCACACACAGCTCTCTACTGAACAATCTTGGCTTTCTGGTTTATTCATTAATTTTTTGTGCAATAAATGTCACAATGCTACAAACTGACATCCAAATAGATGTTGGATATTGTGTTTTAAGTCAAATAGCTTGAAAAGAGTTGATTGGAGGACATTTCAGCTGAATACTGCGATGAAGTTGTTAAATTTGGCCAAGTCCTTGTCTGACCCCAAGCTTAGAAGGTGTTAAAAAGGCTTTTGGTTTGGCACAGAGTTCTTCAAATGGAACAACTGAGAGCACTATGGGAAGCAGTGAGGAAAAAGAAAATGATAGAGATCGGGTTGTAAAGGCTGGGACTGAGAAAGGGATCAGGGAAGAAAAAGACCGAAGGCCACCATGGTGATAAAGATAAGGCCGAAATAAAAAAGACTCAGTGTGGAAGAGTAATGTTACGCTGGAGGTGTATTACCCCAGCAGGTGATATTACAATGTCTGCTGTGTCGAATATGAGAGGACACTTTTATGTGTGAAGCAATAAAAAGTAATGAAGCTGGACCAGAAGAAAAGGGTATAATTTATCTGTCCCCCATGCTCCTCCCCAAAAATCCTAAAATCAGATCTCCGGTATGTATACCACTGTTTCTCTGTGCTTTGCTTCAGCTCACCTCGAATGCCCTCAAACTTTATATTGCCCTTCGTCTCTTAACATTGCAAACATGCTCCAAACCATATAGAAAGCTGCATCCTCCCTTTTTCATCATCCTTTCTCACAGCCTGTAATTCAATCTCTTCCCTGGAGATCATATCTGTGTCACTTTATACCCTCTCTGCCATATCCCAACATATCCCTGAGAGTTTTTTTTTTTGTCTCTAACC